TCCGCTGTTTGTTTACATTTCTGATGTGCATTCCTCAAGAAACGGGTATTTACTATGCAACGATTGCCGCCATTGTTGTGACATCACTGATTTACTACAGGTGGGTGATTACACTAAATTTCTTATTCAGAGGAGAAGATTTCAGAAAAAAGCATGTGGAACGCATGTTACCTAATCAGCTTAACAACGTCGTTTTGATGAGGTCCTTTGGGGTTTTATCTCAGTAATCCTGCTGAGGCCGTTAGAAATAAGTCAATCAATTGTGAATCACTTGATGTCAACTGCGGTATATTTTCTTCTGTGATTGACCAACAAATTAATAAATATAAGACGATTAACTCGTAAGTGCAAATAATGAGTGAAGTAGGCAGAGTTGACCAGTTTTCCTTCGATGCGCCACGCAACGGGCGCTTACGTATATTCGCTATGGTGGATGAGGAGCTGTAGGTACTAACTTTGCTTCAGTTCTTCTCTTTCGGGGTAACAGTTGAGGCATTTGGTCTTATACGTTGATTTACTCCCTACACCTACCTTTATCACTTATGGCAAAGGAGCTGGTTTATAATTCCTGTCAATAGAGAGCCATGCGACACTTCTGATTATTAGGTCATCTCTCATTCGGCTTTCCTATACTCCGTGTATAAAACATTACGCGGCTATATCAGATATTGTTATGACATGGTTTCATTTCAACTTCAAGCCTCATGAAATAGGATTTATTGGGAAATTTAACTGAGGTTAATCTGCACTACCAGGAAATCCTTTGAACTTCTCCTAGATCTTTGGAAAGATCCTGTGTAGATATATCGATAGGGTCTTGAACGCTGATCACAAATATGGACACTGAACTGCTACGTGAACTTCCTAAGAAAGTTATGAGCCTTCAAAGTTGGAAAAAACGTTACTGAGGCGAGCTTACCTGGTGGAAAACAGTCGCCGTGGCTCTGCGCCAAAAACGAGTCTCATATTCGTAATCAGGGCACCCATTTACCCTTATAGAACAAGTTCCAGGCAAAAAGCAACCGTGTTTCCACATAGGTTGCACCTCATCATTAGCGTTCTTTTGCAACTTTTAAGGCTCACAACTTTCTTACAAAGTTCACGTAGCAGTTTTAGTGTCCATATTTGTAATCAGCGTCCAAGACTCTATCGATGTACCTAGGTCTCCTTTCAAAGTTCCATGGGAAGTTCAAAATGTTTCCTTGTTAGAGGCAAGCCCCGTAATAAATTTCGTGAAAAGAGCGCTTCATAGTGATGGCTGAGCTGCGGAACGACCTGAAAGTGGAAAGGAAAGCAAGAGAAATCTTTGGAACGCTGAAATTAAGGCCTTAACCTTCAATAAGGTCGGATGTGGTACGATGGCGAGACAGGGCGATCAAGACAAAACACGCGAGAGAGCACGTCGTTCGAGAGAGCACGCTGATCTCTACATCAATCGCGGTGGGTGGGAAGCGTTGCAACGGGGTCGATGGTTGCGTAAGGATTAGCGCCCTAACCGCGCAATTTTTGCGACGAAGCTGGAGTGATCTATGTAGGTACGGACCCTACAATTTCCATGCGGGATGCTTCCTAATAGTCGGGCTGATGAGGGATATTTCCTTCTAAGGATAGATTTCTAATTTGATCATCATCATAGAGGGTATGTGTTATTTGATCAAGATTTGCACCTCCAACTATCTAGACGGAGATGCGGAATTTTGTCAAACGTCTTTCACCGATCACTGTTAGTATCAGCAGCTTCTCTTTGGTGAACGTTGCCCAAAGATGCGAGAACGAAAATGCATCAGTGCAGTGCTGCCTTGATAGTGAAGGATTCCCAGAAATTAGCGTTGAAGTCCGAAGGACTGTTGAGTTTTGTTTAGCCTCACTGTCAAAGGGGAGGGGATGGTATTGTTATCTCGTAGTAAGAATCGTTTTCGATGTTTCTAGGTTTTGTGAAGGCGGTATTGAATACGTTGTAAGTAAATGAATGGAATTGTGGAAGTAGTTTGTTTTTATGTCTTTTCGAATGTTTTTCAAGTGTTTTACAAGTACAAAATTTATCTGGACGTATTGATATGTACATATATACATAGCATTTACATTTCCATCGGCTTGGAATTCGCTGTTCCATTAGCTTCATAGTTTTTGAAGTATTCGAATTAGCGTAAAATGTTTCATGTGGTGTAGAATCAAACACTCCAGAAGTAACATGGTGGGTCAGAGCAGGGTCAACCGTCCGTTCGAACTGTTCGAACGAAGGGGTCGCATTTTGGTCGGAAGGGGGTCGCAATTTCGAGGACTGCCAGCCACAGGCGCGTGCGTGGCGTATCCGAGGGCAAGAATTGTTTGTGCAGACCGCATTAGA